AAGTTAATCACAAAAATCCCATAACAGCTGAATAATCTGAAAATGTGCATTTCAGAAATGAGCGGATTAACCAACTGGCTTTTTCTATCTTTAAGGGATACTGCTAGATTGCTAGAGGTTCTGTCCCTCACCAGATTATGCACACTAAAGTGTTTGCACATTCTGAAAAAGCAATAAAAGCACTTTAAAAAAAACCTCATGCATACCTGTAGCTATAGGCATTATGGAGAAATTATTCTCAGAGTGCACAACAGAGGCACTGAAATCTGAGCATTTTCTTATCAATTTCTATTGCAGCAAAATCTTGGAAGTCTATTAGCAATCTAATCTAAAAAAAACAGCATGTGTTTCTAAGTTAGAAACTGACTGAAACTTGACGTTCTTTTTAAAAGCACTTTTACCACTTTTCTCGATGTCCATAGTCTTGTACTTTAAAGGGCATCTCTCTTCTTCACCACGGTATATAAGGATATCTCTTTCCCTCACCATGGTATTATTATCATGGTGTTTCTTTTATGCTGAATTCTCAATGTCATTTACATTAGGGAGAAAGCAACAGCAGGAGTCTCTTATGTACATGGACATTTGTGGTGTGCCTCTGAAATTAGTTAGCAAGGCTTTTTGACAGCTGTGAAATGAAGTTTTTGAATTTTATCCTAAGGAGCAGTGCACACTGCCTGATCTCAAATTAACCTCAAATACCCATGTGAAAGAATCTCAACATGATTTTTTAATGACTAAAATTGCCAGCTGGACATAAGCAGCTAGTGGGCTATTTAACACAGCTGTACCAACCCTCAAATAAATGTCTTTTACTGGTGGAATGATCCTTTCATTTGCTTGAAATTGAATAAATATCAGAACAAAAATTAAAACACAGTTAGATAAACAAAATTACAATTGTTTTTTTAACTCTATATCATATGATAATCATTCAACTCTGACCCTTGTAAACATTTTTGTACACATTTTTTTCTTTTTTTAGTAAATACACTTTATGTACATTCTCTGGAAACATGTCTCAGATTTTTACAGAGGATGAAATACATCTTGCGATATCCAATGCATTAGTTGCTGTCCGTTTACAATACCATGTTTACACGGATTGAACAGTCCACATATTTTCTTTAGAAAGTTACAAATTTAACAAAAAAAAACAAAAACATTTTATTGGTTTAGATATTGGCAGATAAATTATGTACCGGTTAACACAAGATCATATGAAGGTGCATCCATAATCTGTAGTGGTTAATGCAACTAAAACCATAAAGCAATGAGCCCCTTTCTGATCCTGCAACGCACTGCGAAGCAGATGCCCCAAGAATTAAAATAGTTATACACTATAGCATTAAGCTGCCAGTGGACTGATCTTTGCAGTTTTCTGTATCCATTAAATAAACAAGCTGCTTAATGCTACTGTCTTTACAGCAGCTATCCAGTTTGCAAAATATGACATCAAAACAATTATTGAAGAACTTCTTTGTGTAACATCTGCTACACGTGTATCATCTGATTCATAATTTTATGGATGATAATAATAATAGTAATTAAAACTGCCTCAAGACCAAAATGTGAGCATTGTATCAGTGATAAAAAGGTGCAAAAAGCGAATCTGCTGGAGATGTACAGATCCCATTATACAGAAAGTGAGAAAATGACATTTAAAGCTTAGCCTATGCAACAAGGACAATGGCATCCATTTCATTTACCCTGAAAATATAAACAAGTCATAAAGAAAAGAATCAATTAAATATGTAATCAAAATGATAAACACAGCTTGACGAGAGTATTATCTATAAGTTACAGTCCTTCAATAATAACCTTCTTCGACAAGAGTAAAATTTACCCTTTCGATGGACAATGGGGCATTATATTGTTGCAATATAAAATTTTCCCCAAAACTGTGATATTTGTAAGGCAGTGGAAAAAAAAAAAAAAAACAGGATTGCAATTACTTAAAGATTAATTGTGTGAACCTCATTTCTGTCTACAATGCTATCGGTAAAATATCTAATTTGCTATGACTGCAGCTTTGTGTGTGGAATACTTTAACTTCTCCACTGGGAACCAGCTAGTGCTTACACACCCTGTTCTAGTTCCCAGTAAACTGAAAGCAATAACTATAATATATGTTAATGGAAATTGCCTAAAAGAGTACGGAAAAAAAACATAGAAACTGTTACACCTTAGTGTATCGCCTTTGACATTTTACCGATAGCAATCTGAATTCAAAATGTACTTGCGCATCAAACAGTGTCATAAAAAATAATAACAATACGCTATACATCTGATTAACAGCAACTCCCAGAACAAAGCCTTACAGTGTATAAAAATAGCTACGTAAAAAAATTTACATAAAAGGCAAACAAAAATGTTCAGTGCAGACATTTACATTTAAAAAAAAAAAAAAAAAAAAAAAAGAAAAGAACACAACATGGTAAGCTATCATCATGGCTGTTGGAACAGTTTTCGTGTTGATTCTTTGCAGTTTTTGTCATTATCCTGTGACAACTTGGTACAAACGTTTAATACTTTGACCATGAACATTTGCAGCTCCATTATATATTCCATTAATTACAATCCATAGTCATGCTTCAAACTGTTCATCATGGTTTCCCTGAAAAACAAAAAAAATTAGAGAAAATATCAGTGGATAAATATTTTACAATAAAAACGGTGCCACAAAAAAAAAATTCCCACAAAAGTGGAGTTACTCTTTAACCTCCTTGGCGGTATGATTCTTTCCGATTTTTGGTGCTGAAAGCGGTACCATTTTTTTGCATGGAAATATGTAGTTTCTTTTATTGTAGGCCTGTAATTTTTAGGAATAACTCACTGAAATCTGTCCGAACAAGAGTCTAGTAAACATCCCGGGTAGGATAAAATTTGAAACACGTAATCATAAATTATAATTTAATAAATAATCAAAAAAAATAATATAATAATAATACATTTAATTCAATAATATAATCAAACCAAAAACACTGAAATGTGAAATATAGCACCAAGTTAGCACATTGCTGAGCAAAGTCACAAAATCGTTTTCAGTGTCTGATGACGAATTTCCCCACGAATCATTATCACTCAATTCTGCAAGTGGTTCTGATTTACTATCGCTGTTCTCCTAGCTGATCTAAACCACTTTTGACCTAAAGGGACACTTTTTGGACGCCATGGACATTTCTCAGTTTTCAGGCACAAAGAACAGACAAAATGCAGGCAGGGCGCAGGACAAAGCATTAGGGACAAGATGTATGTGAAATGGGTTGAGACAGCAATGTTTTACTATGTAAAAAAAAAAAAAGACATTTTTTAAAATGTTTAAGTTTCCCGCCGCCAGCGGCGCCCGTACGTCCCGACGTCACAGGGACAGGACACAGAAGCCGGATGCCGGCATCGGCCGGAGGAGATGGCCGGGGACGCTGCAGGGGACACATCGTGGGAGCGCAGGGTAAGGTAAGTGAAGAACAAATGCTGGAGCAGTGCCGCATGGTATTCCCGAGTGTACCTCGGGGTTACCGTTTGTGGTACTGAAATGTTACCCCGAGTTACACTCGGGAATACCGCCAAGGAGGTTAACATATGGACTACATATTTTAGCAACCAAAGAAGGGATCTCTTACATAATGCATGCGTGAGCAGTATTCCTTGGGTTTCCTAGATATCTCCTAAAGGTGAAGTGAGAGTGAGCTATCTAACCCAATATAACACAGTTGGCATTCCCTTCAGCCAATTGGGGTTTTGTGCCCCAAGATTGGGACGAAGGCAAAGATATCTTAAAAGAGGGATGGTAACGGGGTGCCCTTGGATGTTTCTAAATAGTTTCTAAATAGTTCTGAGGGCTAAAATGGTTAAAGGTGCACATGCAGTTGCACTGTTCCCTAAACCTTTAGCCTTCCCCCACTCACAGACAGAGACACCGCATCTTAGTTGCAGACATTGTCAAGACCAAAAAATGTTTACAGGGCTTATTGCTACTGTACAGCACAGCTCCTGTTTTCTGTCTAGACCTTGAAACTTGCACATGCACATTGTGCTCCCCTAAATTCTAATGTAGGCATACATAGCACCTGTAACCTGGAGGCCTCTTACCTTTTATTGCAGCACACTGCACATATGCTAGTGTTAATGTTCAAGAAGAGTAGTTGGAGCTGTAGTATACAATACTGGTGAGATCTATAAACACCATCTGGACCTCCATACAGTAGGTATTATGCATGGATCTAATTTCTGATATCGTTAACTGCACATGGTGCGGACAGCATGGAGAAAGCAGGGGGCAAAGGGAAATAAAAAGCAAGCTTACCCATACCCACAAGAGATCTTTCATCTGTGGACATCATACAACATCCACAAACTGCCTCGGCCAATTTCAGGAGAAATAGTTGTCAAGGATGTTACAGCCAATCATCACTGTTGTTCCTAAAGATGTTTTACTGCTCCCTCCTTCCCCTCCATTATGGACATAATCATGCACACTCTGGTGATCTACACATGCATGTACAAAAAAATATATATATATATATATATATATATATATATATATATATATATATATATATATATATATATATAAAAAAGATCTTTGCATGGTCAGGTTGTGCCTTTAAAACTGCCATTGCTTATGGCTATATTAGGATCTCAGGTTACAGCTGCCATGATATTTAGACTGAAGAATTGCTTCTAAGTTCAGCATGGACCAGACAAATTTTGATCTATTTATGGGCAGGGATCTACTGACTGACTTCATACAACCACCCTGTCATAATTTTGCCAAGTGATCAGCGCAGCTGACTACAACTGGCAGTGCTGATCAGTGTATTCTCCCCACTGTAAGAATATAAAGGCTCAGCAGGGAAGATTCCCCCATCCACATTGCGTGTGGATAGGGGAATCAATTCATTATTTTTGTTCAACTGTAACATGTTAAACGAAAATGGCTAATGTATGGATTGCATCAGTTACACTTACCTTGAGTATTTTGCTATTTATAACGTTTTTTATGCTTCTGATTTATGATTGTTTTCTTCTAGTTTTTTGTTTTCTTCCGTGTTACCAAGTTCTTTCCCTACATGTTTTGATGTTGAGCTATAAAACAAGGAAAATCATGATAAGATATACTATAGTATACAAATGTAAAAAAAAAAATACATGATTTACATATGCACTCAAAACTTTTGAACTGCATAGTAATTGCTATAGCTTCTTAAAGCTATTCTGGGTGTTTCGATGCAGCTTAAAATAATACCTACATTATGTGCATCAATAGCAAAACGAGATTCCAATATTAACAGCATAATACCATAGTCATTTTAGGAATAGTCTGCAGCTCGTGGACAAGTCCGAATTTCTAACTCTTCTACATTATTGATACATTTTAAATAACTCAAGGATCCTAGTGTTCTTTGAAGAAGAGGATCCTCAATATCCTTTAAACACAGTGGCTAAATTCAGATTTTCAGCACTGACAGCTAAAACTCCATCATGTATTGGCAAATGTATGGCATGTCTATAAACATATGGTATATGTACAGGTGAAACTCGAAAAATTAAAATATCATGCAAAAGTTCATTTATTTCAGTAATATAACTTAAAAGGTGAAACTAATATATGAGATAGACTCATTACATGCAAAGCAAGATAGTTCAAACCGTGATTTGTCATAAATGTGATGATTATGGCTTACAGCTCATGAAAACCCCAAATCCACAATCTCAGAAAATTAGAATATTACATGCAATCAATAAAACAAGGATTGTACATAGAACAATATCGGACCTCTGAAAAGTATAAGCATGCATATGTACTCAGTACTTGGTTTGGACCCCTTTTGCAGCAATTACTGCCTCAATGCGGCGTGGCATGGAAGCTATCAGCCTGTGGCACTGCTGAGTTGTTATGGAAAACCAGGATGCTTCAATAGTGGCCTTCAGCTCTTCTGCATTGTTCGGTCTCATGTCTCTCATCCTTCTCTTGGCAATGCCCCATAGATTCTCTATGAGGTTCAGGTCAGGCGAGTTTGCTGGCCAATCAAGCACAGTAATCACACGGTTATTGAACCAGGTTTTGGTGCTTTTGGCAGTGTGGGCAGGTGCCAAGTCCTGCTGGAAAATGAAGTCAGCATCCCCATAAAGCTTGTCTGCGGAAGGAAGCATGAAGTGCTCCAAAATCTCCTGGTAGACGGCTGCGTTGACCCTGGACTTAATGAAGCACAGTGGACCAACACCAGCAGATGACATGGCTCCCCAAATCAACACAGACTGTGGAAACTTTACACTGGACTTCAAGCATCTTACAGTGTGTGCCTCTCCATTCTTCCTCCATACTCTGGGTCCTTGGTTTCCAAATGAGATGCAAAAGTTGCTCTCATCAGAATAGAGGACTTTGGACCACTGAGCAACAGACCAGGTCTGTTTTTCTTTAGCCCAGGTAAGACGCTTCTGACGTTGTTTGTTGTTCAGGAGCAGCTTGACAAGAAGAATGCGACATTTGAAGCCAATGTCCAGGATCCGTCTGTGTGTGGTGGCTCTTGATGCACTGACTCCAGACTCAGTCCACTCCTTGTGAAAGTCCCCAACACTTTTGAATGGCCTTTTCCTGACAATCTTCTCCAGGCTGCGGTCATCCCTGCTGCTTGCGCACCTTTTTCTTGCACACTTTTCCCTTCCACATAACCTTCTATCAATGTGCTTTGATACAGCACTTTGGGAACATCCAGCTTCTTTTGCAATTACCTTTTGAGGCTTTCCCTCCTTATGGAGGGTGTCAATGATGGTTTTCTGCACAACTGTCAGGTCAGCAGTCTTTCCCATGATTGTGATTCCTACTGAACCAGACTGAGAGACCATTTAAAGGCCCAGGAATCCTTGGCAGGTGTTATGGCTTAATTAGCTGATTAGAGTGGGACACTTTGAGCCTAGAATATTGCACCTTTTCATAATATTCTAATTTTCTGAGATTGTGGATTTGGGGTTTTCATGAGCTGTAAGCCATAATCATCACAATTATGACAAATCACGGCTTGAACTATCTTGCTTTGCATGTAATGAGTCTATCTCATATATTAGTTTCACCTTTTAAGTTGCATTACTGAAAATAAATGAACTTTTGCACCATATTCTAATTTTTCGAGTTTCACCTGTATATCATATACTGATATATACAGAAACCTCATCAGCTCCATTATTGAAGCCTTTTTACAGGTTATCATTTAGACTAGTATCCTTCAATGTCAGCATAAAATAAACTGATGTTTGCTCCTTTATAAATAACCTATTTACAGAAAACTGGATATATGAGCAAATGATTTATTAAAATAAACTTTATTAGATCCCTTTCACACAAAATGTCCAAACTGGTCTGCCTGTCAGTTTTTCAGGGGGACCTGAATATGTTTTCCATTCACTCCATGGACCTCCAATCCTGGAAAACAGGAGGGCAGTCGAGTGTAAACAGCAGATTCATGTGAGTCAGTCCATAGAGCAGAGTGGGCTCTGTCCGTATCCACTCTGCAGAAACTGAGCGGACATGGACCTGTCATCTGCCTGCTCTGCTCTGATCAGCAGGGGATCTGTGAGCTGATCCTCTGCTGATTAGAATGGATTCCACATGGAATCTCCCCCATTTGAAAGGGGCATAATGGTTTTATACATTTTTCTATTTATTGTTGTCAGAACTAAGAAAATTTTTTTTTTAATTTTAAGTAAAGTGGATCATGCATCTAAAACTATGGAACTGCCATAAAAAAAGTGTTAAAAGTCATTAGGTTTGAGAAAAAAGTTAGTATATTCTATTCTATAATTTATAGGAAGAGAGATCATACAAAAGAAAGTAAGGCGCAATAAGAAGGAGGAAGGAAAGATCAAGTCTCTATTGATGGATTTAGATGAAGGCATACATTGAGCAACAGTGGAATAGAATATCTAGATTATAAGGGAAAGATAAGATATGAAGATAGAAACAAATACATAGATAAGCCCAGTATAAAAAGCGCTAAGCAGATAAGCAGAAGAAAAAGAAAGACCGTGAAAAATTTGGAAAGAAATGCTAGGAGTAGTCCATCCCGTTAAAAATATTTGAAGGAATTAATAGAGGAACATATAGTGGATTATGGAAGAGAAACATGCACACCGCTCAAAAAAAAAAAAGGAATACTTTTTACAGAGTATAGCATCAATGAAACTCATGGGATATTGATCTGGTCAGTTAAGTAGCAGAGGTTAATCAGTTAATCAGTTTCAGCTGCTTTGGTGTTAATGAAATTAACAACAGGTGCACTGGATGGGCAATAATGAGATGACCCCCAAAACAGGAAAGGTTTTCCCGGTGGAGGCCACTGACATTTTTTCCCTACTCATCCTTTCTGTTTTCACTAGTTTTGCATTTGGCTAGGGTCAGTGTCACTGCTGGTAGCATGAAGCGATACCTGGACCCTACAGAGGTTGTACAGGCAGTCCAACTCCTCCAGGATGGCACATCAATACATGCCATTGCCAGAAGCTTTGCTGTGTCTCCCAGCACAGTGTCAAGAGCATGGAGGATATTTCAGAAGACAGGCAGTTACTCTAGGAGAGATAGACAGGGCATGACCTCCAGCAGGCCACTGGTGTAAATGTCTCCAACCAAACAATCAGAAACAGACTTCATGAGGGTGGCCTGAGGGCCCAACATCCTCTAGTGGGCCCTGTGCTCACTACCCGGCACCATAGAGCTCGATTTGCATTTGCCATTGAACCCCAGAATTGGCAGGTCCACCACTGGCACCCTGTGCTTTTCACAGATGAGAGCAGGTTCACCCTGAGCACATGTCAGGCACCCATACAAGCACATGGGGGCCATACAAACTACTAAGTACCATTTTGAGTTGCTGTAATGAAATTTCAGCAAAATGGACTAGCCTGCTGCATCATTTTTTCACTTTGATTTTCAGGGTGTCTTTGAAATCAGTCCTCTGTAGGTTGATAATTTTCATTCCCATCAAACGATGGGGCATCCTTACGTTCCTAACACATTACCCAGTCCATATCAGTATAGATTTCCAGCATGATATTTTTCCCCATTGAGATCTGATGTGTTTTCAAAGTGTTCCTTTAAGCAGTGTATACAGTGAAGGAAATAAGTATTTGATCCCCTGTTGATTTTGAATGTTTGCCCACTCAAAAAGAAATGATCAGTCTAAAAATCGAATGGTAGGTGTATAGTAACACTGAGAGACAGAATAGCAACAAAAAATTCAAAAGAAATGCATGTCTAACAAATTAAGCACTGATTTGCATGTTCATGAGGGAAATAAGTATTTGAGTCCCTTCACAAAACATGACATAGTACTTGGTGACAAATCCCTTGTTGAAAATCACAGAGGTCAGAAGTTTCCTGTAGTTGGCTACCAGGTTTGCACACATCTCAGGAGGGACTTTGACCCACTCCTCTTGGCAGATCCTCTCTAAGTCATTAAGGTTTGGTGGCTGACGTTTGGCAACTTGCATTTTCAGCTCCCTCCACAGATTTTCAATCGGATTAAGGTCTGAAGACTGGCTAGGCCACTCCAGGACCTTAATGTGCTTCTTCTTCAGCCACTCCTATGTTGCCTTGGCCGTGTGTTTTGGGTGATTGTCATGCTGGAACACCCATCCACGACCCATTTTCAATACCCTGGCTGAGGGAAGAAGGTTCTCACCCAAGATTTGATGGTACATTGCCCCGTCCATCATCCCTTTGATGCAGTGCAGTTGTCCTGTCCCCTTAGCATAAAAACACCCCCAAAGCAGAATGTTTCCACCACCATGTATGACAGTTGGGATGGTGTTCTTGGGGTCATAGGCAGCATTCCTCCTCCTCCAAACACGGTGAGTTAAGTTGATGCCAAAAAGCTCGATTTTGGTCTCATCTGACCACAACACTTTCAACCAGTCCTCCTCTGCATCATTCAGACGTTCAGTGGCAAACTTCAGACGGGCCTGGACATGTGCTTTTTTGAGCAGAGGGACCTTGCGGGCACTGCAGGATTTCAATCCTTGTTGGCGTAGTGTGTTACCAATTGTTTTCTTGGTGACTGTGGTCCCAGCTGCCTAGAGATCATTGACAAGAT